TAGATGCTTCCTTGTTAAAATTTTGCTGTAAATGAAAGAATCACAGGAATGCCTAATAAAATATGTAAATAAAAGCCGTATAGATATTAAAAATTTTAAATAAAAAAAATAATGAAAATAAAACACATAATTTGTGAATATTTTTTAAACTTGTGGTTTAAATCTTCTTGAAACCAGTCACAACTGGGGAGAACATATTTGTTAACCATATTTTAAAAAGAAATTGAAACGAGATAGCCAAATTTTAGAGAATTTTTTTTTTGTTTTGGCCAATCCCGATCAAAATTAAACCGATCCCAACCATAATTGTCCAATTATTGGAAATAAATAACATTTCCCTAAGAACAATAGTCTGATTAGGTGTGATATTGGTTAAAACATAATTGAACATGACAATCAAATAGATTTCTTCATTGTAAATACATGAAGAGGCAATAAATTAGTATTTTATTCATTTTGTGTTAATTTTGATCGGGATCAGTTTAATTTTGATCGGGTTAGGTCCAAATATTAAAAAAAATTAATTTGTCTAAAATTTTTCTATTTCATATCAATTTCTTTTCAAAATATGATTGACAAACACGTTCTCCTCAGTTGTGACTAGTTTTATGGTGTTTTTAACCATAGGTTTAAAAAAATGTTCACAAATAATGTTTTTATTTTCATAAATAATTTTTTTTAAAAAAATCAAAAAGTCTAACCAACCTTTCTTTACATATTTCATTAGATATTCATATGGTGCATTCATTTACAGCGAACATTTAACTTAAAAACATCTTATTTGGATATAAATAATTTTTTTTTTCATTTTCTTTAAAAAATACAAAAATTTGATATAAAATAATTAAAAGCTAATATCGGCCTTTCAATGCGGAAACCTTTGTTTAAAAAGGATGACTGAAAATCTATGAAATAAAAAGTTAGTGTGACATTCTACCTTAAGCCTTCGGCTCAGATGAGCTAAAAATGAATATAAAGGTAGTCCGATCCTCAGTTTCATAAAATTAGCAGTTAAGTAATCAAAAATACTCATAAAAGTATCTCTGAATCCACAAAGTTTTGTAAATGTATTCACAGTATTTCTTTAAAGTTAAAGATTAAAGTTAATCAAATTACATGTGTGTGTATATTATGGAATGCCATATACGACAGCCAACTTCTTACTGCCAACTGCTGACTGCTTACTACCAACTGCCACACATATTTGAATAAATTTTATATTTATATTGATATTTATATGAATTTTCAAAAAGAAGAAGAAAAAAACAGGCGCGGATCCAGGACATTTTTTCCAAGAGGTCACCCTGCATGGTAAAATTAAATTGACTAAATGACCACTATGTTTTAATTTATGTAATATTCAGTATATGCCATTGATAAAGTACATTCTTTATTTTTATTTTCTTATTTGAAATAGGTAAAAGAATGACTATTTTCTGCTTTTAATCTTAAAAGAAGTAACAACCCCCCACCCCCCCCCCCCCCCGCGCGCGCGCGCCCCCGGAGACAACAAAACCCTTAAAGAGAGAAAATTAAAAAAAAAAGGATTTGTCGTTTCGCAGAAAAAGATGTTTTGAAAATAAATTTACATTTTCCATTATATTCTATAATAGTTAAAATTTTCCTCAAATTAAAGATGTATATCTCTGTGTGTTATAATGTTTCACATGCAAAGATCTTGGGGGATGGGGTGGGGGCATTTAAAATTTGTACAGTCATGGGTTAATGTATAAACTAAACGAACTAAAACTGGCCTTGGACCCTCCACTTAGAAAACGCCGATCAAACATTTATATCTCTTTGTTTTTACAAATAAGATATGTTTTACATGCATAGATTTAGAGAGACAGGTCCGAACCACCCTCTGAAATTTGTAAAGTTATAATACACAAACTAAACCAACTAAAAGTTATTCAATGTATAAAATAAATCAACTAAAAGGGACCTAAGACCCCCCCCCCCCCGCCCGAAAACGCGGATTCGTGTTAATTTGGTATAAAAAATGTCATAGACATGAAGGTATGACGCATGAGAACCCCCCTCTCCCCGGCCGAAATAAATTTTCACATTAAGGAAAGGACTTTACGTTTTTTTTTTTCGTGTCAAGAAATTTCTGGGTTGGATTTTTTTTTAACATGAGTGACCCTCTTGGAAAAAATGTTCTGGACCCGCGCCTGTTTTTTTTTTTTTTTTTTTTTTGAAAATTCACATAAATATCAATATAAAAATAAGATTTATTCAAATATGTGTGGCAGTTAGCAGTAAGCAGCTGACAGTTGGCTGTCGTATATGGCATTCCATAGTATATAGGGAAAATTGTCAAATCTCCAATATTTTTGCAGAAAAAGCGAATTGAAATATCAGCAATGCATTTTCTTATTGCAAATTGATCAACAAATATATTTTAGGTTAAAAATCGATAGGAATCCAGGCATTCACAGAAATTGTCATGATTTTATACTTATTTGGTATTTTTTGTCTTCTGTTTCCCTCAGGTATTACCTAACACATAGTGAAAAAGGCTTTTGCTATCATTGTAAGACACCACAAATCACTTCTTATTTCATATCATGCTAATAAGCATTAGTATCTAAGGCTGGTTTCAAGAAAATCTTATTTCTCTAAAACTGTACTTATTTTTTTTTCCTTATATAGGGTACAAATGTCAACTTTTATAAGACCTTTTCTAAGACTTCCAAAAACCTTGAATCTTATAAAGATGAATAAAATGAAAATTGTTGCATGAAAAATTTTCATTTTCAAGCTTCGTTTTGATGCATTTCAAATTAAATATTAATTTTTGGAGTTATCCTTCCTGGCTGAGGATCGGATTTCCTCAAATTTGTCACTTTATGTATGCATTAATCGTTTTCATTTGTGTTATGTTATTAGGTCAAGTGAGCTTTTCTGATCACAGTTTGTCTGGCGTCCGTCTGTCTTTCCGTCTGTCTGTAAACTTTTCACATTTTCGACTTCTCCTCTAGAACCACTGGGTCAATTTCAACCAAATTTTAACCAATTTCAACCACAAATTAAAGCATCCTTGGGTAAAGGGGATTCAAATTTTTTTTTTTTTTTTTTTTTTTTTTTTTTTTTTTTTTTTTATACAAATTTTACAAATTTTACAAAGGGCCACGCTCTTATTCAAGGGGAGATAATTCAGAAAATAGTGAAAATTTGGTAGCATGTTTTAGAAATCCTCTTCTGAAGAACCACAGTGCCAAGAAAAATTAAACTTACAGGAAAACATCCTCAGGTAGTGTAATTTCAAGTTTTTTTTTTTCAAATCATGACTCCGGGGGTAGGGCGTGGCAACAATGGCCGGCCAAGGTTTTACATAGAAATATATAGGAAAAATTCTTTAAAAATCTTCTTCTCAAGAACAGCAAAGGCATGATTCACCATATTTATATATTTATAAGCATCCTCAGGTAGTGTAGATTCAAGTTTGTTCAAAGCATGACCACCGGGGGTAGGGGGGGGGGCACAATAGCCGATCAAAGTTTTACAAAGAAATACACAGGAAAATTCTTTAAAAATCTTCTTCACAAGAATAGTTAAGCCAAGATTGATTATATTTACTAGTATATGGAAGCATCCTCAGGTAGTTCAGATTTAATTTTCTTCAAATCATGACCCCCGAGGGTATGGCGGGGCCACAGTGGCGTATCAAAATTTTACATAGAAATATATAGGAAAGTTCTTTAAAAATCTTCTTCTCAAGAATACCACTGTGCATGATTCATCATATTTATACATTTATAAGCATTCTCAGGTAGTGTAGATTCAAGTTTGTTCAAAGCATGACCGCCGGGGGTAGGGGGGTGGGGGGCACAATAGCCAATCAAAGTTTTACATAGAAATACACAGGAAAATTTTTTAGAAATCTTCTTCACAAGAATAGTTAAGCCATGATTGATTATATTTATATGGAAGATCCTCAGGTAGTTCAGATTCAATTTTCTTCAAATCACGACCCCCGAGGGTAGGACGGGGCCACAATGGCGTATCAAATTTTTACATAGAAATATGTAGAAAAATTATTAAAAAATCTTCTCAATAATAGCAAAGCCATGATTGAGCATATTTATATAGAAGCATCCTCAGGTATTTTATTTTATTGGGAAGGAGGGGGGGGGGGGGGGTAAAGCCACAGGTTCTCAAAGAAATATGATGCTTGATTCTTAGTTACTGTAGATTCGAGTTTATTCAGATCATACCCTTTCCCCTTTAAGGATTTGTTGGGACCACTTTGGTTTTAGACTTTTTAATGATAAACTGATTTCTGCTTTTTTCCCCTAGCCACTGTGCACAAATAAGCGATGTGGCCCATGGGCCTCTTGTTAATGTTCATGCTAAGCCCCCCCCCCCCCCCACTTTTTTTGCAAATATATACATGTACATAATATAAGCATTGAAAATTTGGTTTTACCTTTTTTTTGTTGGTTTAGCCCCCCACCCCCCACCCCCCAATTTCTAACATATTTTGGTATTATTAATATCTGTTGAATATATTTTAAATTAAAAAAAAGTGACTGTAGGTTTTCCTTTAATACTTACTGGTCAGAAGATATACTAGTATCGTTGATTTAAGGAATAACTGTCTTATTTTTCGATTTCATTATGTGATCAATCGATTGGGTAGTGTGATAATTTGCATAAACGCCGAAGGCGTTTATGCATAAAATTATCACGCAAGCCAATCGATTGATCATCGTCATGAAATCGAAAAATAAGACAGTTATTCCTTATATTTACATGCTTTGATTCCGCCAATCCACATGCTCCAAGCCCTGCTTCTGACTAACTGTTTGTTCCGCCCTGCACGTGTTTTTTTTGAAACCGCGCCAATACATTGATGGGGGAAATAAAGTACATTACAGTTTGTAATTTTATCTCGGACAAAGACATTGGAAATGTAAATATTTCCTTGTATAGCTTATCAAAACATCTGCTCAAGTCACAAGTACATGCACTGAATCTAGCAGGAGATAAGTGTTAAAACGTGTCGACTCCTCGTATAATTGTAGGTCTGGAGTGATTTAAAATATGTTTTCGGTAATTTTTCTTTTTTTAACGCTACAAACAGCTCTATGTGTCAGCGGGGAAGACAAATATCAAAATGATTTAATCGTAAAATTTTCTCAGGAGCTTTCATATTTAAAAAATGAAGTCTCCATTCTGAAGGAAAAGCTTGAATCCTGCCAAAGAGGAAACCTATGTTCCAACATCGATCCTGATAGAAGTAAGTAATCCAGACTTATCCTGTATATGTTAGCTCGTATTCATTTAAATTATAATCGATCTCTAGGTCTGGAATTAAGATCTACAACAAGGCAACAGACGGGGTGAATTTAATAATATTCGCTTAATTTCTCCAAAACCAAATCTTTACCGTTCACGGTAGCCTAGTGGTAGAGCGTTCGCTTCGTGATCGAGAGGCCCGGGTTAGATTCTCGTTCGCGGCACCGCGTCAAACCTAAGACGTAAAAATAGGTATTGACTTTTCCTTGGCAACCGCTCGGCTTTCGGGTCTTTTGGATATGACCTTAAAAACGGAGGTCCCGGTAGGCGCTGGCACGACAAAGAACCCTCACTGCTCAAGGGCCCTGAGTGCCGAGTATAGGTCTAAATTTGAAGCCCTTCACCGGCATACGGTGACGTCTCCATATGAGTGAAAAATTCTCGAGAGGGACGTTAAATAATATACAATCAATCAAAACCAAAACTGTAGGAATCAATTATTTCTATGATTTTTCAGATAGATATATACCCTGGTTATCTTATGAAAGCATGAAGTCCTCCCCTCTAAATTTTTCTCACCTCTCTATCCATCCCTCTCTCTCTAGCTAAAATGAAAAAAAAACACCTGTTTTTGTTTTTTTGTCCCCCGCTTAAAAAATGTGGGGGATATTAATTTGGGTCTGTCCGTCCGTCTGCCTGTCCGTCCGTCTTTCTGTCTGTCTGTAACGCTTTCGTTTCCACACAATATCTCGAGAACCCTTTGAGCTTTCGCACCGAAATTTTGCATAGCAACTCCCTATGGACTAAAAAAGAACCCTATTGATTTTGAGGTCAATACGTCAAAAGTCAAGGTCATAAATTCGCACATTCTGTCTGTTATAACTTTCGTTTCCGCGCAATATCTCAAGAACCTATGAAATTTTACATAACAACTCCCTGTGGCCTAAGGAAGACCCCTATTGATTTTGAGTCAAAAGGTCAAAGTTCAAGGTCGTAAATGTATACATTCTGTTTGTGTGTAACAATATCTTTTTCGGGCGATATTTCAAATAGATTTTGAGCTTTTGCAATGCATTTTTTTTCCCAAAACTCCCTTTGTCATTAACGCGATAGCGCACTGTCATTAATGCGCTTGCGTGTTGTTTCTAACGCGCTAATACATTTTGCAATGGCCCTATCGGGACACCATTGTTGGAAATTCGATTTTATGCACGCTCTAAAATGACATATCCCACTGTATACGTTCCCTTTTAGTATACAGTGGGATATGTCATTTTTGAAGCGTGCATAAAATCGAATTTCCGTGACATTCTAGTGTATATGAAGCAGAAAGGTTTACAAAAAAACTAAAAATTAACATTGTGCACTGAAAAAAAATGTTACGAGTATAGTTCGAATTTCCTCGACAATACATTACATTGAGAATGTACAGTATCCTTGACCCAAGCGCCTATGGAAACCTCAATAATAATAATTTTCAAATAAAACTTAAATTATCTACAACATATCTTTTCTATCACTGATACATGGACAATACTATATAAACTTTTTTTTCAGGAGAAAAACGAATTGTACCCCAAGGAGAACAGTCACAAGTCGCCTTCCATGCTCATCTTTCACAGAATCAAAACAATCTCGGTATCCACCAAGCCATCCACTTCGACAAAGTACTTCTAAATGAAGGCAATGGGTATTCGGTCCATGCTGGCGAGTTTGTCGCACCGGTTCCTGGTTTGTACGTCTTTTCCTGGTCTATTGCAGCTGGTGACCGAACCTGTATGAAATATGAATTCGTTCAAAACAGCTCTGTTTTGTTTTATTCTATAAGTGATGCCCATGAACATGATGACTGGGCCGTTTCGTCCGGAACTGCTGTCACACGTATGAACTCAGGGGACCGTGCATGGATCAGAGTTTCTAGTATGCTTACGTGTTCTCACACCGTTTTTGGAGCTGGTTTCGGTACTTCGTCTTTTTCCGGTTTTTTATTACATTAAAATGTGTCCACGTTAACATATGCCACCCTGTACCGGCAAAAATAATTTCTTAGCTCGAAGTAATAGTGAATTCTTATAAATTGTTACATATATTATCTAATTTTGTTTCGACTCTCTTTTTGGTTTTCAAAGTAGGATCCTTTCCTAGATGTGTGAAAATGTCTTCATTTTAATAATGACTTTTACTACTACTCAGTATATATACACTGTATCCTTGAAAACGTCTTTATCTCAACTATGACTTTCACTTAATATTTCCAGGTGTTGGATTAAAAAATATTAAAAATATTCAAGGCATTTATGCTCTTTTATATAATCCTCAAATTATCTCCATTTTTATTGTTTGTAAGAACAGACAGTGATAGGTAATATACATATTCATTAATACTCAAATCTTCTAGGTGAAGAAGAAACCTCTTGCTGTGGCGTTCATTTCAACATTTTATAAATACTGTATGTATACTTTAAAAAGTGGGCTTCATATTTTAGCGTCTTTGGCGCGGACAAGAATGCGCTAATTCATAAAATACCGTTAAGAATTCATTTACTTATACAATACATTGTACAGACCTGTGTTGCGCAAATTCATGATTACGCCAACAGCTCGACGAGGTTTTATCAAATAAACATTATTTTTTTTCTTATGTTGATTCGATATATGTATCAGTCGAAAACGATATATTTAAAAACGACTTAAGGCCCTGTCACACCTACCTGCGTTCACACGGAGTCATTACGGATTTGTTGAATTTTTAAAATCGCCGTGGAATCGCAAGGAAATTTAACAAATTTCTGTAAGATTTTTACAATGCGAAGATGTCACGGCGTGCCTACGGTGACCAACTCGTTTCTACGGCGTTCTCGCAGCGTGCTACTGCGTTCCCATGGAGATCTCTTGGCGATTGACTGCGCTTCCACGGAGTTTTCATGGCGTGTTGGGAGATGTCACCTCGCGTTCAAGGCGTTCTCACTGCGATGGTTGCGTTCACAATACGTTCCCAATGTGTTCTTCACCCATGGATATATATTCAGAAAACATATTTGATTAAAGTTATGTGTTGAAAAAAAAATCTTTTTCTTATAAAAATGATCCATTTGAATAAATTAGTACTAAATTATTAAGTTTTAGAATAAAATTCTTTTTTTCCATTTTATCGGTTCAGATGAGTTTTTAAAAATTTTCTTTGATTTCATTATGAATGTAAAAATAAATAATAAACCCACTGTAAGAAATAATAAACACACTGAAAAGATTCTACAAAAGTAATTCCACCGCAACTCCGCGGAAAAAACGGAACAATTATTTTCTCTTCCCCATTTTACTTAAATGCTCACTGATCAAATATGAGACTATAGCTCTTGTTTTGTGAAATGGCTGACAAAACTCTAACAACGCCATGAGAGCGCATTGTGATCGCCAACGGACGCTGTAGAAACGCCAAGGGAGCGCTACGATCGCAGTGACAACTCCGTGTAGTCGATGTGTAATCGCAGTCGAAAAATTAACATGACGATTAATCTCATTACAAGCGGCGTAAAAGCGCGGTAGAAACGCAGTGACATCTCCAAGGACTCCGCGACATCTCCGTGAGGTCTCCGTCGAAGCGCAGTCTACTATCACTGCGTTCGTGTCGCGATCACGTGCGTCTTCACGGCGTTCGCACGGAGCTCCCACTGCGTTGTTGGAGATCTCACTGCGCTGCTACGGCGATCATACTACGTTTCCACTGCGTTCTTATCAGACCGCGATCACACGGCGCGTACTTTGTGCATGCCCAAAGTGATCTCCGTACATGTACCCTGGCGTTCTAGGAGACCCTACGCGATCCTACCGCGTTCAGTGTAGATCTTGCCGCGTTGTCACGGCGCTGTAGGAGACTCCACGGCGATCACCCCGGCGTTTTCCATTTTTTATGGACGCTGTGCAGTCGCCGTGAAGACGCAGACCCGGTGTGATAGGGGTTTTAGAGAGAAAAAAGGTTACATTGTCGATACAAAGTAGTGCATATTAGACTACCAAAATAGTAAAAAAAATGTGTCAAACCCGGACTTAAAAAGAAAAACACATCATAGGAGGATGGATTAAGGAATAACTATCTAATTTTTTGATTTCATGATGTGATCCATCGAGTGGCTTGCATGATGATTTGCCGTAGGAGGCGTTTATGCTTAAAATTATCACGATAGCCAATCAAATGATCATCGTCTTAAAAATCAAAAGGTCTGACAGTTATTCCTTATATGTACATGCTCTTGATTCCGCTAATCCACGTGAAACAAGTCCCGCCTCGCACGTGTTTTTTAACCGTGCCTATCGATGATCCAGTACTAGAAAAAAAGTACATTAACTATTTGTAATTTTATCTCGGACAACGACATTGGAAATGTAATATTTTTGTTTAAAGGAATGATATTATAATTCTAATTAATTCCAATGAAAAGGCAGGGTACTTTATCCTTATCAGAAAGTATTCTCAGTTTGACCACGTAAACATATATACGTATCAAAGGAAACGTCCAGTTAGAATTATTTAGGCAACTTTAGGTAATATGTCGTAGTAACAGGCTTTCAAGTATTTTCGTTTGCCTGGCATTACATACAGTCTGTTTTGTTAATGCTAAAACCAGTTTTAAGAAAGTGCTCCAAAGACTCCCAACCTTAGAAAAGGAAGCATCTTTTCTGAAAGAAAAATTGAAATTCTGAATATGGAAACCAAATCTCTGATGTTATTAACCAAAGCAGTGAGTGTAGATTGGTTTTAATGTACATTGATTTCGTAAATATGCTCAAGGGAAATGAGTGGTTTTCCATTAGGACAGAGAGTTGACTGAATATATCTATTTTAGTACATTTTAGTACAACAGAGGCAAAAACTAACATAAATTATACAAAAAAGACCTATATGATTAGCTTATATTATACAAAACACTGGGCACTGAGCACTGTCGCACAAAACATTTAAACTTGTAATGGATCAGTAAATCTGATATTTATGGCGATAAAAAAAACCCTGCTCATCCAACAACTAGAAAGCTGAAACCCAAAAGGTATTGGTGACGAAAATAATGATGTTACAGTAGTAAGAATGATATGAACCACAAACCAATTTATTTCAGGAGAAAAACGAATTCTACCCCAAGGAGAACAGTCACAAGTCGCCTTCCATGACCATCTTTCACAGAATCAATACAATCAATCTTGGAATGCATCAAGATATCCACTTCAATAAAGTTCCTCTAAACTATTGTATTTTGTTTAACGCCCCTCTCGAGAATTTTTCACTCATATGGACATGCCACCACTTGCCGGTGAAGAGCTGCAAATTTTGTCCTACACTCGGCACTCAGGGCCATTGAGCAGGGAGGGATCTTTTTCGTGCCAGCACCTACTACGACATGGGACCTCGGTTTATACGGTCTCAACCGAAGTACAGATCTCAACGTCCAAATGTGGGAGCCCGTTACTTAAGGATCAACTCCTTACTTCACGACTCTAGAGCAGACGCTCTTGCCTTTGCGCCACGCAGTCGACTCATCTAAACAAAGACTATGCTATTAAATCCATGCTGGGAAGTTTATTACGCCAGTTACTGGTTTGTATGTGTTTTCTTGGACCATTGCAAGCAGGGGCCGAAGTTGCATGAATATATATGATTTTGCTCAGAAAATTGTCGTCTTATTTTATTCGACAAGTGATCCGCATGAATTCAATGACCTGGCTATTTCGTCCGGAACTGTTGCCACACGTATAAACTCAGGAGACCGTGCGTGGATCAAAGTTTCTGATTTGCTTCCGTCTTCTCACACCTTTTTTGGAGCTGGTTTAGGTATGAGAAAGACTCAGTAAACTGTGCCTTATCTTTACATGAGTAAAAGTGATTTTTGAATATTATCGACAGTCATTTTCTTACACATCCCTTGCAGTTACATTGTACAATTCCTAAGTTGACGAATTTTAAATAAATGTGTCAGAATATGATACAATAAAACAACTCTGAGTCACCCTAGCGTTTATTAGTGTTCTGTTTTTGACATATGAGAAAACTTGACTATTTCTTAATTCAAGATACAGTAACATAATACTCCATGATACGTGGATTGGCAAATAAACACCATATTTTTAATTTCGCTATGTTCGCGTTTTAGCCTTTTTCCGCGAAATTAAACCCATCGTAAATATTATTAGTTTTAAAAAAAATTAATGCTTATATATTCTGAATTGATTTCTTGCAGCGTAAAATTAAACTATCGTAACTGGTACTTTTTGAGACATCGTGAAATTTTAACACTGTGGAATTAAAACGGCTTACAGTAGTCTGATGATTTTATTTCAATCTTAACAGGGGAATCAATGTCTTGAAAAGATTCTTATTTTATTGCATGCTTTAGCATTGCTCTTTGAACAGAATAAGATAGACATTGGTTTTATTGAATGTTTGAAATTTGGCTGCTTCTATCACATTGTAGGATATGGGTTTATTTGTTGCCCATTGCTTACGATCGAGTTATAATCTTCAACATAATCTTATCACAAAGGCCGAGATCAATGGTCTATGAAACAGTGTTCAAACTTATAATTGAATTAATGAAGCTTGATTGGAAAGTTGTCATGACTTGACTCGGTGTCATCTAATGAAAAGAAAACATTTCTGGGTAATAAGAATTTCAAATGGTATTTTGGTTATTTCAACTGATTTTAAAGGCGGAATGAAATCAGACTTTTAGAATATAATACTACATATCTTTTGTTGCTGATGATTATGTCATTACTTAAAGATATGGGTCTCGTAATTCAAGCCTCAGAATTTAGCATATACATGTAATACTACATATCTTTTGTTGTTGATAATTATGTCTTTACTTAAGATATGAGTTTTGTAATTCAAGACCCAAAATATAGCAATTTGATTGAAATTCTTAGCTTTTTCAATTTTATCTTTATAAAGAAAGTTGAATACTTAATCTGGACCACAATATCAAGTACCACTGAAATCTATTATATATTCGTTTGTAGGAATTATATCACATCAGATTGAATAAAAGGACAGGGCACTTTATCCGTGTCAGAAAGCATTCTCAGTTTGACCACATAATCAAATAAATCTGGTGAAAGTCCAGTTTGAATCATTCGGACGACTTTAGGTAATAAGTCGTAGAACATGCTTTCAAGTATTTTTTGTTTGCTTGGCACTACAGACAGTCTGTTTTGTCGATGCTAGCGACAGGTATCAGGAAG